CGGGTGGCAGCCACTCGATGTGTTCCTTTCACATCGATGTTTCTCTCTCTCTCTGTTCCTCTCTCTCCCTCCCACTCTACCTGAACAAAAAATGGAAAAATGTCCTTGGGTGAGGATTAAAAATAATAATAATAATAATAAAAAAAGTACACAATCTTAATACAAGAATGTACAAAACATGCCCTGGCCGGTTTGGCTCAAGGGTTGGAGCATTGGCCTATGGACCAGAGAGTCCAGGGTTCAGTTCCCGCTAGGGGCACATACCCCCCCCCCCAAACACACACACACACACACACACAAAGAATGTACAAAACAAAGGAAACAGTGTGGTGGGATTGTGGAAAGAGAGTGAGTGATAGAGAGTGAGTGATACAGACCCAGAACAAGGATTTTTATCTACCACTTACTAGTATCCAGACCAAAGAAAAATAATTTCACCCCTATGCACCTCAGTTATTCAACTGTTAAATGGGAAGAATACCATGCATTCTTGCAAGCTTGTGAGGATTAAACAAGATATTTAAAAAGCACTTTATATGCAACTTGGTGCTCAAGTAGTAATAATTACTATTATAATTATTTTTCCTACCACTAGAGTACTTAGAAAAGTCACTGACTTTTCAGGATGTGTCTATGACTAAAGATAAGTAAAAAATCAGGAGGCATAGCAGCTATACTGTATTCTAGGGAATGAAAGCACAAAATGACACCAGCTCTTGGTAGGACTTCTCAAACTTTGGTCATTTATGTACCACCAACAGGATTTATGCCACATCCAAGTATTGCACCTTAATAAGTTTCTTTAAATCAACTCACACTTCCTTAACTGCCCTGTTCTAAAGAAGTATAGCTGTAATCCCTGGCCAGCGTGGCTCAGTTGGTTAGAGTGTTGTCTCATGCACCAAAAGGTGGCAGGTTCATTTCCCAGTCAGGGCACATACCCAAGTTGTGAGTTCGATCCTGGGTTGGGGCGCATGTGGGAGGCAACCGATGTTACTCTCTCACATCAATGTTTCTCTCTTCCTCTGTCTAAAATCAATTTTTAAAAAGTAAAGCTGTGAAATGATGGCTTTGATGTGATTATCTTTTTTTCTAATATATATTAACCATTAAAACAAAGCATTAATTCCCTTTACCATCCCACATCATCTCCCAAATTACATTATAAAACTGCCTTAGGTTGCTGTACTTCTGAAACCCTGAAAAGAGATCAACCTAGCAATTTGTGGGTTTATTTAATTTTTCTGCTACTGGTGATTACCACTTACAACGTTTTGCAGAACATACAAATGAAACCAAGCAAATAACAAAATTCATCTCAATTATATACACTGAATCTTTTCGTGAGAAGTCCTACCTTGTCTAAAACTAAACATACAACCCAGCAATGTGTCTTTTATTTAATCCCTCCACCTCTATTTTCTCTATCACATGTGAAAACGAGACTGGAATAAAGGCCCATATTGTGGTCTAGGTTGAAGAATAAAACCAAGAGGAGGAAATACAGTAGTGAATTTTTTTCTGAAGCACTAGCATTTCAGTCACTATGCTGTATGCCTGAAACTAATACAAAATAATATTAAATGTAAACTGTAAATATACACACACACACACACACACACATATATACACATTTTTTAAAAGAATACATTTTTAAAAAGAAATGGTAGGCATAATGATCATCCAAATGAAAATGTATTATCTTCAAGATAGTGGAACACTCCTTTGAAAAGGTAAACCACAATCAGTTATCAACCAATATCTCTCAAGTCTGCGCTATAAACCAGGAAGTTCTCTGTAACAACAACAACAACAATCACTGACCAGAACCAGGACAAAGTACTTCACTCACTGGTAATATCTACAGATACTTCACATAATGCAATTTTGGAGCCAATCTTAAACCCACTATAAGAGCCACATTACACACTTTTTAAGTTACTCTTACATTCAATCCTCTTAGGATCACAGACCTATTCATTCAGGGGAAAAAAATGTATCCTGTGCCTAAAATATACAGGACACTATGGAGAATATGAAAAGAGCAAAGAGTTTTTTTTTTGTTTTTTTTTTTATCCTCACCCGAGGACATTTTTTCGATATTTTGTTCAGATAGAGTGAGTGGGAGAGAGAGAGAGAGAGAAACATCGACGTGAAAGCGACACATCGAGTGGTTGCCACCCACACGACCCAACCAGGGCTGGGGACAAACTGCAACCAAGGTACGTGCCCTTAGCGGGAACCGAACCCGGGTTTCTCCGGACCGCAGGCCGACGCTCTAACCGCTGAGCCAAACCGGCAGGGCAAAGAGTTTGTTTATAATCTAGCATGGGGAATAAGATTTATATAGTCCCCAAATGGTGGGTCTCAGGACTGAAAAGGGCTGCTGGGATTTTTCCCCTTGAAAATTTTATTATGAAAGATTTCAAATATATGGCCAAGTTGAAATAATTTTACATTGAACACATGAATACTCACCACTAAGATTCTACCATTTTTACCATACTTGCTTTCTCACAGATCCACTCATCCATCTTATTTTTTGATGAACTGCTGGGATTTAGAAAATGAGACTATGTGCAATGAAAAATTTTGGTAGGCCACCTTAAGGATGCTCCTCAAAAATTTTGACTGATGGGGTGCATCAACCAAAGTTTGGGAAACCACAAACCGGTGCTCAGTGTTCAACTCTCCTGCCAACCTCCAATCAAAATCTATGCAGAGCTCACAACAGGCCATCTTAGGTCTCTACACCCTTGTGCACTATCTGAACTACTCTGTCCAGCCCCCTTCAAGACTCAGCATCAATCTGAGAAGCCTCCTCCAACTTTCACACCCTCACCCAGAATTAACCATGCGCCCCCCATAAGGGCCACATGTTTCATATTTTGTAATTAGCCTACAATAGCTGCAACTCTGTTTTCAGGCTGGCCCTTTTACAAAACTGACCTCCTTTATTTACCTCTGAATCCTCAGCAACCAGCACAGTACCCAGCCTACATAGTAAGCACTCATATTTAATATATTATTAAATGAATAATATAAACAAATGACCCAGACCTGTCTTTACACAGGAGCCAGTGAAGATTTTAGTGGAGTGTGGGAATGACCTAATCACATTGGCACTTCAGAAAGATTCCTCTTAGAGAGCACCGTTGTTAAGAGCATGAGCTTTGGAACCAGACTGCCTGGGCATGAATCCCAGAATCCCAGCTCTGCCATTTATTGCTGGGTGACTCTAGACAAGTTCCTAAACTTCCTGTGCCTCAGTTTCCGCATTTTGAAAAGGAATATGACTGTTTCACAGGTCACTATGAGGCTCAAATAAAATTTTGTTAAAACACATAAATTAGCACCTGGCACATAATAAGTGTTCTATCAATGTTAGCCACTGTTGCCAGCAACCCAGTTAATAATGACAATGAGGTAAAAAAAAAGTCCTTAAAGCTGGGGTGGTAGCAGTGAAAACAAAGTGGAAAGATTGGCCATGAATGATGACTCTACTGAAAAGTGTTCAGTCAGGAGGGCAAGCAAAAGGAGCGTCTGTTATATTTTTTTCTACTTTGTACATTTTACATAGCCCATGAGTGGATTTTTCATTGTGAAAAGCAGCTATGATTTACCCAGCCTAGGCACAGACTTGATGCTGGGCACAAGGAGTATAGTATGACTGAACTCTAGCCACAAGCTCTATGACCACTGCAAGTTTCTCTATGCAGGTCTTTCAGTCGCGAATTTTTTCATTACTCCCTGCAGCACCATTTCTTTAGTTTATGATTCCCACAATTTCCTGTGCTGTCTTCTGACTGGAGCACATCCCCAAGAGCCTTGGTTGGTGAATGGGTCTGAGGTTTTGTCCTACCCAACCCTGTACTACTTTTCCTTTTCTTCTTCCTGCCCACCTCATTTACTTCTCAAGCCTTGCTATTCCTCACACGTAGGAACTTGAAACCTAAGAGAGCATGGGAAAACAACAGAGCAATAGCAGTAGTGCTAAGAACTGGGGAAGCTGCCAAGCTCTTCCCCAGGCCCCATATGCAGTGACCAACTACATGTGGAGATTAGACTTAACTGCCCATGGGGCCTCACATGCTTGATATTCCTTTTGGCTTCTGCTCATTTTCTTTCTCCCGCTTAAAGCAGCATCCTCCCAAAGCAGTAATCAATTCAAATCCAACCCATCCTTGAAGACCCAAGTGAGGTCCAACTTCTTCAAGGAAACCTCCCCTGACCATTTTAGCCCACAGATACCACCATCCCCAACACATATATACACACACTCACACACACACAACAGGTACTGTACATACAATATGTCCCATAAAGCATCGTCACATACACATTTATACCGTTAAATAAACATTTCATGTATATATATTTGATTTTCCAAGGGTAGGGCCATGTCTCCCATGTTTCTTAAACCTCTTACTCTCAGTGAGTTAATACTTGTTGTACAGTAACGGAATCAGTGGAGGTTTGTGTGTTCAGGCTAAGGAAGGAGGAGGTAGAAGCATGTTGAAATGAAAAAAGGTTGAATGGACATACAGGTAAAAAACAAAAAAGAAGCACTAGGTTAAAATGGGAAAAATACTGTAGAAGAAAGCTGTTCAATTAACATCTGTTTAACTGATTGGCTTCAAGGTTGGAAAGAGATGCCAACTGGAAAATTTTGGAAAAAGGCATTTCAGCTTTAGGCATAAGACAGCAGAAGAAAGATGGGGCTACAAAAGAAATTCTTCCAAAACCTAGGGATAGGCCAACTGGAAAAGGGGAAGGTAAAGGGTGACTTGGGTAGAGATGTGGTTAAGTAGGTGAGCGAATGGATAGGGGATGGTTTGAAGGGGTGGGCAGATGGATAAAACGATCAAGGGTAGTTAGGCAAATGGATTAGTTGATTGGGCAAATGGATTAGATGGGAGGCAGGTTAAGCGGGTGGTGGTTAGGTGTTTAGTTAGAAGGGAACAGGTGTGGGAAATACTAAGCTCCAGCCATTCCCTCACCTTGACCCGGAAGCGGATGAGTGCCAGCCTCACGCAGTGGCTCAGGCAAGCCGGTGGCAGGAACCAGGCCCGTGGAGGAGGGGTGCCCTTGTTGCCCACGTGTCCCACGATCAGTTGCGCTGTCTGCCGCTCAGTCTGGCACCGACGGCCCCACTCAGCCAGCCGGTCCTTGCCCAGGCCCCCAGGGAACATGACCACCAGCTCCAGGCCGTCACCGCCGGGATAGGCACAAGCCTGGCATAGCGCTGACAAGTAACCGAGCATGGCGTTCCACTGGCCGCCACACACCCAATCCGTCTGGTAGCCGCCATAAAGGCGCTGCAGCGCCGAGCCCGCGTCTACCAGCACCCGGGCTCCGGGAAGCTGGGGGGGGGGAGGGGGCGGCGGCGGCGGCGGCGGCGGCGGCGGCGGGTGCAGGCTGGGATGCCCCTGGCCGTGGTGGTGGAAGTGGTGAGCTGGGTGATGGTGCCGAGTCGGCCCCGCGCCCCCGGAGTAGGCACCAAAGGCAGCGGGCGCGAACGGCGGTTGCAGAGGAGCGGATCCCCTGGCGACGCGCGGAGCCCCGGGCGCCAGGGCTACTGCAGGTGGCAGCTGGAAATGCTGGAGCTGCTGCTGCTGGCGCGAGACCGTGCGCGCGAGTTTGAGGAGGTCCACGGGCACCACGGCCCCGGGACAGCGCTTCTCCAGGAACTCCTGGAAACCCTGGACGCCCATGCTTCGTCGGCGGGCAGACGAGACGGCGGCTGCGCGAGCAGGCTAGGCGGCGATCTGGGCGCGAAGCTAGGGGCGGGCGCGTGCGCACTCCACGGGGGGCGAGGGGGTTGGGAAAAGGATTCCCGAGGGGAGGGGGGAGGAGCGGGGGTGGGGAGGGGTGGGGAAGAGACTACAGATTGGATTTGGGTGGAGAGGGGGGGATGAGCCCAACCCGATTTGGGAAAGATTGGGAGGATAAAAGCGATGACGGGCTGTAGTCACTTCTCTCTTTTTTTTTCCCTCTCTGGTCGCTCCTCACCGCTTCAAAACTGGTGAAGCCTCTTCCTTCCATCTCCGGAAGCCATGTTCCCTAGTATTGATGGTACACACTTTCTAGCTGGAGGAGTGGGGACGGGACGGGACGGGGCGGGATAGGGCAGGACGAGGGGGTAGGGGAGGCGGGGGGAGGGGGCGGGGCGGGGCGGGCAGAGAGGTATCCTGGGAGTTGTGGTGTTCTCCTCTACGCTGCGGTATACAGTCCAGGAACAAGATTACCACCCCTGTTATCCCTTGCTCTCACAGGATCACCAGTGGTGGGGCGTGATGATATGTGCTTAGGATTTGCACTTCAACTCCTGGACTCCACCGAATTGCTCCATGCTATTTACAGCCTTTCCCGTGAAAGAGGGGGGAGGAGTGATGCATCATGGGAAAGGAAGTGGAGTGGATTAATTGAATTCAGCTCAAGTATGCTAAAATTCTCCAGGAGGTGGACTTTTCATTTCAGAGGGGAAAATAATATGTGTAGCTTTTAGTGGACAAGAAGAAAGGACACTTGTGGAACCTAAAAATGATAACCACCACCATTTCTGTAGCGATCCACTTAACTTTTCGCTACTGCAATTCTTGAAAAAAAGTGCCGTTGGCCCCAGTCAGTGAATAGTAAAATGTACATTATTTGCCCAAGGCAGTGCAGAGAAAAAGTGAAATTGAATATCCCTTGTCCTCAGGATATCTTTGGTCGGGGAGATAAGCCCCAACACAAATTAAACTACAAGTTGTACCTTTCTGGTATTCACTGAGTTACAGTGAATATTATATATATATTTTTAATTTTTTTAAAAAATATATATATATTTTTTAATTCTCACCCGAGGATATTTTTCTATTTATCATCAGGTAGAGTAGGAGGGAGGAAGGGAGGGAGAGAGAAACATCAACTGGTTGCCTCCCACATGACCCTACCAGGGCCTGGAGAACTGTAACGGAGGTACGTGCCCTTGACCTGAATCAAACCGGAGGCTCATTGGACCATGGGTCGAAGTGCTAACCACTGAGCAAACAGGCCAGGGCAACAGTGAATATTTTATTTTATTTTTTTAATATATTTTTCCTGCCCTGGCTGGTTTGGCTCAGCGGTTAGAGGTTAGCCTGCAGTCCACAGAGACTCGGGTTCGGTTCCCCCTAAGGACACTTATCTCAGTTGCGGTTTTCCCCGGCCCTGGTTGGGTCGTGGGGGTGGCAGCCACTTGATGTGTCCCTTTCACATCAATGTTTCTCTCTCTTTCTCTCTTCCTCTCTCTCTCCCTCCCACTCTATCTGAAAAAAAAAGAAAGAAAAAATGTCCTCGGGTGAGGATTAAATAAATAAATAAAGGACTAGCTTTTTTTTTTTTTTTTTTTTTTTTTTTTGTGGTACATGCCCCTAGCAGGAACCAAACTGGGGACTCTCTGGTCCGCAGACCGACACTCAACCATTGAGCCAAACTGACCAGGGCAAAAGGGGTTTCTTTTTTTTGTTTGTTTGTTTTGTTTGTTTGTTTCATCCTCACCTGAGAACATTTTTCCATTTTTTGTTCAGACTGAGTGGGAGGGGGAGAGAGAGAGAGAGAATATCTACGTGAAAGGGACACATCAAGTGGCTGCCACTCGCACACCCCAACCAGGGCCTGGAACAAACTGCAACCAAAGTATATGCCCTTAGTGGGAACCGAACCTGGGTCTCTCAGGACCGTAGGCCGACGCTCTAACCGCTGAGCCAAACAGGCCAGGGCTAAAGGACTAGCTTTAAAAAAAAAAGTTATTTTTCCTTTATTGATTTTAGAGAGGGAGAGAGAGATAGAAACATTGATGAGAGAGAACATCGATTGGCCGCCTCCTGTATGCCCCCCACTGGGGATCGGGCCCACACCTGGGCATGTGTCCTGACCGGGAATCGAACCAGCAACCTCTTGGTGCATGGGTCGACGCTCAACCACTGAGCCACACCGGCCGGACAACAGTGAATATTTTAAATATGTTTAATATTTTTGTTTTGGTTTTTTTTTTTATCCTCACCTGAGGACATTTTTCCACTTTTTGTTCGGGTAGAGTGGGAGGGAGAGAGAGGAACAGAGAGAGAGAGAGAGAGAAACATCGATGTGAAAGGAACACATCGAGTGGCTGCCACCCGCACGACCGACCAGGGCTGGGGACAAACCGCAACCGAGGTACGTGCCCTTAGCGGGAACCGAACCCGGGTCTCTCAGGACCGCAGGCCAACGCTCTAACCGCTGAGCCAAACCGGCCAGGGCAAAATATGTTTAATATTTTTTAATTGATTTTAGAGAGGAAGGGAGAGAGAGACAGGTAGAAACATCGATGATACAGAAACATGAATCTGCTGCCTCTCCAACGCCCCCCACCAGGGATGGAGTTGGAAACCCAGGCATGTGCCCTGACAGGAATTAGCCAGTGACCTCTCAGTGCATGGAACATGCTCAATCCACTGAGCCACACTGGCTGGGCAGGACCTCTGTGTTTACACCTCATTGTGAATTAATCTGTCAGGGAGGTCTAGCAAAATAATCACAAGTACTCTGATTCCAGATGTACAGAATCAATATTTTGAAATATATATATGTTTTTTTCATTATGTTTTCCAATTGATTCAGATGCAGCACCAGTCTTCTAACTGGCTTTTGGGGCCTATTCTTTCAGCAGGAGAAGGGCAAAAAACAAAATCTGTAACAGTGAGCAGTGACCAAATCTGGCTTGGAATTTAATGTAAGGTGGGAAATAATGGCAGGCAGCGTTAAAACCCAGAAGTGCAGAACCCAAGAATAGTCAAGATGAATGAAGTCTGAGGACAGTCTAATAGGATGCAAAAGCTGAAAAAGCTTCAAACTCAATAAAGGAGTTTATCATAAAAGAATAGTGGAGAGCCCTGGCCGGTTTGGCTCAGCAGTTACAGTGTCGGCCCGTGGACCAATGAGTCGTGGGTTTGATTCAGGTCAAGGGCACGCACCTCAGTTGAGTTTAGGCCCTGGCTCTGGTTGGGTCATGTGGGAGGCAACCAGTCAACGTGGCTCTGTCGCATCAACATTTCTCTATGTCTGTCTCTCGCCCTCCCTCCCACTCTGTCTGATAATAAGTAGAAAAATATCCTCAGGTGAGGAATTAAAAAGAAAAAAGAATAGTGGCGATAGAACAAGTCAGACTGGCAAAGAATAAGTAGATGGTGAAGCAGTACACTTAGGTAAGTCGTTTGAAAACTAGCAGTGAGCCTGGCTGGTGTGGCTTAGTGGTTGAGCATTGACCCATGCACCAAGAGGTCACGGGTTTGATTCCCAGTCAGGGCACATGCCCAGGTTGTGGGCCAAATCCCCAGTGTGGGGGCATGCAGGAGGCAGCTGATCAATGTTCTCTCTTATTGGTGTTTCTGTCTCTGTCTCCCTCCCTCTCTCTCTAAAATCAATAAAGAAAAAATGATTAAAAGAAAACTAGCAGTGAAAAGCAAGGATGAAGAATGGAAGGAATAGAGAGGTTTTTCTAGCATAATAAATTGTCTGTCCAGCTCTCCTTTTCTGGGAATTGACCCTCCACCAATTTACAGAGTTACAGCAAAAATGTCATATTCCTATAACCATGAATGATTGGGTCAGAGTTGAACAACTAAGCTAAACTGGATTGGTAGGAGTTTCATTCCCTAGAAATTTGGAATTTGACCAAAGAAATCCGTTTTCCTCTAAGTGTAAAACTTGGAAGCTGTCACCAATTTTCCCACCAGAGAGACAGAAGTAACAGATGCTGGTCTGTACAAAGAGAGGAAAAATGCAGCCTCTCAGAGCAGAGATGAGAGATAGAGTCTTCATTGTGTTTAAGTCCCAGGTCTAGATCATTCCTGAGGCATTCTTTTTTGTTTTTATCCTCACCCAAGGACATTTTTGCATTTATCTTGAGATAGAGTGGTAGGGAAAGAGAGAGAGACATCGATGTGAGAGAGACACATTGAGTGGCTGTCACCCACATGACACCAACTGGGGCCGAGGACAAACTGCAACCAAGGTACATACCCCTAGCGGGAACCGAACCCGGGCCTCTCTGGTCCGTGGGCTGACGCTCCAACTGCTGAGCCAAACTGGCCAGGGCTTCTGAGGCATTTTTGTCCTTGGTTTCCCTGTAGGTAACCCCACATCCTTACTATTACCAGTTTTGTGTAAGATAGAGTTCGATTAGAAACTACTCAATGACAAAATACGCTAACTCAGAAACTGGTACCAGAAATGGCTTATGGCAAATTGCAGACGCTCAAATAGACTGGCAGAGATCTCTTAATGGAAAGTTGGAATCAGCCCAGCCTGAGTGGTTGTGTCATCCTGTGCACTGAAAGGTTGCCAGTTTGATTCCTGGTCAGGGCACATCCCTGGGTTCCTGGGTTGCAGTTCAATCCCCTCAGTCAGGGTGCATACAGAAGGCAACTGATGGATGTTTCTCTCACATCCACATTCATCTCTCTCTCCCTCCCTCTCTTCTTTCTAAGCATATCTTTGGGTGAGGATATTTTAAAAAGTTGGGCCTGGCAGGTGTGGCTCAGTGGTTGAGTGTTGACCCATGCACCAAGAGGTCATCAGTTCAATTCCCAGTCAGGGCACATGCCCAGGTTGTGGACCCGATCCCCAGTGGGGGGCATGCAGGAGGTGGTCAATCGACGTTCTTTCTCATCAATGTTTCTCTCTCTCTCTCTCCCTCTCCCTTCCTCTCTCTCTCAAAATCAATGAAGAAAGAAAAAAAGGATGTATTTCCAAAAAACAAGGATAT